ATCAATATATATACATTTTATTTAATAGGCTTATACCCAAATACTGTATTCTATTTCCATTGAGCACAGTTGATAAAACAGTCTTCTGGAACATCATTTTACTGGTTACGGAGTATTCCTTTTTCTGGTTTACTGTGATCTACTTAACCAATTTCCTACTATTGCTTTTTCATGTGTTTCTCTTGGCAGAAATTTCTATAGCTTTATTAGGATATTATCATACAGCATGCTGCAAGACCTTTAAAAATCCGATGGTAATATTTTTTCTTATTTAAGATCTACTCTGAAAGCTGCTTAGCGTTCTGGTTTTTACTTTTATCTCGTATCCCTGGCTACACATATTGAACATTTGTGACAAGGAATTTTGTCCAACTTGGAGGTGACATCATGAGTTATTTTTATGCATTGGGAGCTAAACTCAATTGCTTTGTCTCTGATTTTTTTAAAGAAAAATAATTTTTCAGAGGTAGGATCTTTTCTGAGCTTTCCAGTTCTGTTATAAAAGCCAAAGATTAGGAGACTTTTTCTATTTAAGATGGGAAATGATGGAGTCGTTGTCTGTAGCCAGAGGTTCTTCCTGGAAAAGTGCTTTGGAAACCCAAGATTGGTCCGGGCACAGTGGCTCACGCCTGTAATCCCAGCACTTTGGAAGGCCAAGGGCCCGTGGATCACCTGAGGTCAGGCGTTCGAGACCAGCCTGGCCAACATGGTGAAACCTGTCTCTACTAATAATATAAAATTAGCCGGCGTGGTGGTGGGTCCCTGTAATCTTGTCTACGTTGGGAGGCTGAGGCAGGAGAATCTCTTGAACCTGGGAGGTGGAGGTTGCAGGGAGCCAAGATCGTGCCACTGCACTCCAGCCTGGATGACAGAGCAAGACTACATCTCAAAAAAAAAAAAAAAAAAAAAAAAGAATCCCAAGATCGCCTATGATAACAGTTCCCACGGTTGGATCTGTGGAGCATGCATGTATAGTTTCCGGCCTCCTCCCTCCACCAGCAGCACTGCCACTGCTGAGACCCAAGCTGACTGGAGAATCAGCCTCATGAACTCTCCAGCCACGGCTGGTCATCTGCCATCAGCATTTGCTGAGGGACCTTTATGTCCAGACACTGCTGAGAGCCAGGTGGATTTGATGAACTCGGTCCATGATGGGCAAAAGATGCCCATAGAGAAGTGAACATGGTGCCGTAAGCCGGAGGGGCTCAATGACCAGACCATTAAGGATATGAGGAAGGCTTCTCAGAAGGAATGTCTTGTGAGCCAGACCTGGGAGGCTCATTTTCAGACAGAAGAGAGAGAAAAGGGGCATGTCAGACTTCCCCTGCCCCTTTTTTTTTTTTTTTTTAGTTCAAAAGAAAAATATGCTCCTGGGAGCTGTTGTCACTTTTCCTTGGTTATCAGCTAGAATCACATCTGGTTTTGAAGAGGTATACTTCATAAACGATCATCTCCAAAGTGAGCTGACACATTTATCTTTGCAACTGAATATGTGAATGAATTACCCCCTTTTTAATGTTGTTACCTTCATGAGTGCCGGAAAGCAAATGTCTTCTGTTTCTTCAGTAACTTGAATTCATTTTCAACTTTGATTCGTTGCTATGATAGTGTGTTCTTAAAGTCACTGCTGTAGAGGAAACCTTTTGTTTTCTCCAGCTACAGTTTAAGCTCATGAAATGGACCCTGAAGCAATACTCCCTTTTATTATTTAAGGTATGAGAAACATGACCTTAAGAAACAAAACATAGAAAATTACTAGGCCAGAAAGAGTCCAAATTCTACTTTCATTACCTGGAGTTCAGAAACCATTGCCTCAGTCCTGGATCTGCTGTTAACCCTTTGTGTGACCTTACTCCGTGACTCACTCTCTTTGGGCCTCAGGCTACTCTGTATAAAAAGAAAGCAGTGAAACCAGCCTGGGTGCCTGCCATGGTAGAGACGTGGGCTGAGGCCGGGCACTGTATGTGTGTGGCCTGCAGATCCATTTTTGGGAACTGCGGGTGATCATGGCCTTCAAAAGCACTTTTCCAGTTATGAGCCCTTGTTGGCTGCCACATTCTTCAAGGTGGGATGTTAACCTGTGATCTGCTAGAAAGAAGGGGGATTGGGGAGATTGTGTGTTCAGATGAGTCTGCAAAGCTTTCACGTGAAGAAAGTTAGATTTCTTTTTTGCAAGACGTCTCAGACCTTAATTATGTTATTTTGTGCTGTAAATTTCCTCGAAAGGCTTTCTGAGGTTATTTGACCAAGCTACCTTTTCATCTTACTCTGCTTTAAAATGATACCAATCCTGGGGCCTGGCACGGTGGCTCATGTCTGTAATCCCAGCATTTTGGGAGGCCAAGGCAGGCAAGTCACTTGAGGTTAGGAGCTCCACACCAGCCTGGCCAATATGGTGAAACCCCATCTCTACTAAAAATACACACACACACAAAAAAAGTCGTTGGATGTGGTGGTGCGCATCTGTAATCCCAGCTACTTGAGAGGCTGATGCAGGAGAATCGCTTGAACCTGGAGGCAGAGGTTGCAGTAAGTCGAGATCGCACCACTGCACTCCAGCCTGAGCAACAGAGCGAGACTCCATCTCAATAATAATAATAATAATAAAAAAAGATACCAGTTCATGACATGGTGATTGATGAAGCTGAGTATTACTGTTGAGTATTCTTTGTTTCATTTGCTGAGTCAATAAAAAGGTATTGACTGTCTTTTGTGTACAAGGCTCTGCTTTAAGCCCCGGACATAAGGCAGCAAACAAGATGGACACAGGCTTCATCCTCGTGGAATGAGGCACTACAGTTTCCCATGCTGTGAAGGAGAAGTCAGGCACCATGACAAACTTTACATGGGCAGGCCTGCGTGAAGGGATCAGGGCAGGTGTCCCTGAGGGAGTGGCACTGATCCTGGGTTCTGAGGGATGAATAGGGAGTTAGCTGGGGCAGGGAAAGGTGAATGGTGACTACCTGGGAGGTGCTAGTGACAGTGTGGCCCAGATGTTTAGATCTGGGGAGGAGGAGGTAAGGTCAGAGAGGTATGGCAGGTGGGAGCCAGGTCAGACTAAGACTGGGCTTCCTGGTGATGTCAGGAAACTCTGAGTTCTGAACAGGCTGGTAACCCGATCAGGTGCGCCTTTGAAAAGGATCAGTTAGGCCCTGTATTTCTAGCACTTTGGGATGTTGAGGCAAGTGAATTGCTTGAGCCCAGGAGTTCAAGACCAGCCTGGGCAACATGGCGAAATCCCATCTTTACAGAAAATACAAAAACTAGCCGAGTGTGGTGATGTGTACCTGTGGTCTCAGCTACTCTGGAGCTGACGTGGGAGGATCACTTGAGCCTCGGGAAGCAGAGGATGCAGTGAGCTGAGGTCACGCCACTGCACTTTGCCTAGGTGACAGAGTGAGACCCTGTCTCAAAAACAAAAAGAGGGGGATCATTTAGGCCACTGAGTGGAGAACGGGGTTGGTCTGTAGGAAGACAAGGATGTTGAGAGAGAGCTCAGTGAGACTTATCCCTGGTAGTAAAGGGCAGTAGGGGAGGGAGAAAAGGGGATGGATTTGAGAGACAGGAGGAGGATATTTAATGAGAATAACTCCATGTTAATGGTGTAATGCTTTTACCTTTGAGAACAAAACCAACAATTAAATTTAATAACATCTGACATTTTACTTTGTTCTGTTACAGTAAAAGGAAAGTTCTTTGATTTCTTCCTCCTTAATGTCTCCTATATCTTCCCTCTCAGCCTGAAACCTCGGGCATTTTTTCTTTGGGTAGCTCCATTCTAATCTGACTTCTTGCCGTAGCCTCAATTTCAGGTTTTATCACAAGATTTCTGTACTGAAATCCTTCCCATTGACTTCCGAGGCCTTCAAGCTGAAATACCAGTGCGTTTCCCGGGCTGTTCCCTGTTCCTCTGCCACTACTGTCACCTTGCCTCCTGCCACTGTCCCACCCCCACCTCCCCCGCCCCACCACTCCCCCTGCCACGTTTTAGCTGCATTAATCTCGGTACTTGAAAGTTCCTACAATGGGCTGCATATGCATGGGCTCCCTTCCTTTGCAGATGCTGTTCCCTCACTGGGTGCCTTCCCCCATTTCTTCACCTGGGCAAGTCGTTTTTATCCCAAATCTAAACCCACCCCTCCCCCTGCCTTTTTTATTTTTTATTTTTTTGAGACAGAGTCTTGCTCTGTTGCCCACGCTGGAGTGTAGTGGTGCAATCTTGGCTCACTGCAACCTCTGCCTCCTGGGTTCAAGCAATTCTCCTGCCTCAGCCTCCTGAGTAGCTGGGATTACAGGCACACGTGTGCCACCACACCCGGATACTTTTTGTATTTTTAGTAGAGTTAGGGTTTCACCATGTTGGCCAGGCTGATCTGAACTCCTGCCCTCAAGTGATCCGCTTACCTCGGCCTCCCAAAGTGCTGGGATTACAGGTGTGAGCCACCACGCCCGGCATCAGCCCACATTTTCTCAAGCACCTTCCTTGAGCCCAGCCAGTCTGAGTTAGTTACCCGCCCATCCTGTGTTTTTACAGCCCTCTACCCTTCCTGCAGATTGTCTTTAGTGTTCATCTTGTTTTCTCCCTTGTTAGCCTGAAGGGAGGAGCTCCTTAAGGGCAGCAACTTTGCTCTCATCTCTGAACCCCAGAAAGTAACAGTACCTGGGACAGAGTAGGTGAACAGTAGACGTTTGGCTGACTGAATGAATGATGGTATGAATGAATGAATGAATGAGGGAATAAGCAAGAGATAAGTTTTAAGTTAATTTCTAAGACCTTTGTATATATAACATTTTAACTTCTGTTTTCTTTCATTTCCTAGCACAGCTGAAGGTTTAACAAGAAAAAATATGTCAGATGTCAGTGGGTGGCAAACATTTTTACAAGCCCTTGACTACTTCCTCAAAATGTTCTTTGGCTCTGCAGCGCTCGGCACTCTCACTGGCTTAATTTCTGCATTAATATCCTTTTAATGTGATGAGCATACAGGGTTGAGATTATTCTTGATGGCTTCTGTCTCTAGCCAGTTTCTCCTGTTTTTTAAGGGGGCCAATTTTAGATGAAGGTTTTGCTTAAAGGAGGATTTTTTGCTTAGTTTTTGTTTGAGAAACACTCTAACTCAAGGATTTTTTAATTTAACGTGTGAAATTTAGAATGTCACTTTTCAAAGTTTAAAAAACATGTACACTGTTGGATATCAGATATGATTTTGGGGACCTCTCAGTTCCCAGAGTATGATAACCACACTCAGATGATTTTCATTTTCTGCCATCTTACTTTTCACATTTGGAAAATTAGAAATTAATTTTCTTTGAAAATGTCAAATAGACCAGGTGCAGTGGCTCACGCCTGTAATCCCAGCACTTTAAGAGGCTAAGGCTGGAGAATTGCTTTCGCCCAGGAGTTCAAGACCAGCCCGAGCAATGGAATATAGTGAGACCTCGTCTCTAAAAAATACATAAATAAAAATAAAATGTTAAACAGAGAAAATTTTTATCCCACTGAAAGTGTTTATCCAGAAGGATTGAAAAAGGGGCTTTCAAAATGTGTTCCATTGAGTTATTTGCACTGATTTTGTTATTTAACAACCAATAAGCTTTTCTAGCTGGAGATGGAAAGAGTCTTGTTAAGGCCAACGACACCTTTATTGCTGTAGAAATTTCATTATGTTTAAAATAGTAACAGGCAGTAGACCACTTTGGTGCGCGCCTAAGCCTATGTCTCAGGGAGATGGCCACCTGGCCCGCCTCCATGAGCAGTTTGTTTCACAGATGGCCGGAAGAGACTCTTTTGCCTGGTTACAGGCATATTTTTCTGCCATCCTGTTGAATTTTCCCATCAACTCCTTTATCTAGAAGTCTAAAGGCTCTATTGAGTTGGCTGACAGCTTCTCATATTGTACCAATAAACAGAATGGAAAAGAAAATTTTTTCCATTTCAGTATTTTCCTCTATATCTTTTTCTTTAAAAAAAAAAAAAAAGTATCTATCCAAATGAAGTGGAGCAAATGGGTACTGTGAGCTCCAGTATAGGCATTGTGAATGATACTTCAATATATACAAGGCTCTCTCCTTTTACAGGGGCATGAGTTTGGAAATCTCCAGGAATAGAAAAGACTGCGCTTCAACAGGGCCTGGAACCCCAGTTAGAACAGCAATTCACACTAGTTGTCTTTGACTCAAAACTGATGGGGAAAGCAAGATGGGTAGCATTAGTGATCTCATCTGATGTTGTTGGAGGAGTCGGGGTGATATGGCCCTGGGAGGAACCTGGCAGAGTGAACTGACCTTGGTGTGTCTGCAGCTCCAGCTTCGTGCCATGGCCCAGCACATCCCCAGCCCTCTAAGTCAGCATTTTTAAATGAGTTGACTTAGGTTGATTTTCATCTTCCACCACCATTTATCTCCGGAATTTACATTTCTTAGTGTTTTGTTTCTTATAGCAAGAGTCTCCCTACAAAGGAAAAAAATCCATAATGACAAATTTTCATTTGTAACCTTGGGACGTTCCAAAATCTTCTGTACCTGTTTACTTCATATATTTGGAAAGCAGCAGTTTTGTGACTTCTCCACATCTCCCATCAACTCTCCCTCGATTCTCCTTCCTTGACAGTTGTCATTTACGTGCTGAAGCATATTGACTTGAGGAAAACACCTTCCTTGGAGTTTGGCATGATGATCATTTTTGCTTATCTGCCTTATGGGCTTGCAGAAGGAATTTCACTCTCAGGTAAGTGACAGAGAGCCTGAAAGTGCTGTGGTGATGGCATTTTGTCCTGCCTGATGAAAGAGGCTTTGTCAGTTGGGTCACCTTTAGTCACAAGAGACAGTCACAACTCAGAAGAGCTTGAGTGATAAAGGGAATCTATTGGCTCCCTAGACACACATCTGGATTTAGGTCTGCCTGGATCCAGTAGCTCAAACAGTCACATTGGTGTCACAGTCACATTTTCTCTTAACCTGCCTTCTCTTATTTAGCCCATCAGTCCTATGAGGCTCCCTCAGAGGAGGGTAACCTGTGGGAGGGAGGTACTGTGAAGGTCCTTATTTTACTTATGAGAAAACTTGAGGTTGAGTGAAATTAAGTAAATTACTCAAGGTCACAGCTGGGATTGGTGGAACGACGATTCAAACTAGTTGTCTTTGAGTCAAGAACCAGTGCTTAGAACCCTCCTCTAATACAACTCCCTCCAAAACAGATCATCATGAAACCATGTACTCAGTGCTACATAGAGGGACAAGCAAAGTGTGGCGGTGACGTAATGTTGGGCGTTTTTGGACACACTTTACCAGTATTCAGTTTTTTTATGCTGCTACCGCCCATGTGGCGTAGGTACTAAGGTTGTCATTAGCCCAAAGCTGCACTGCACAGGCAGTGGTGGTAGTGAGATTGACAGCGGAGGCCCAGAGCCTTTTCCCTGCACCCCATTGGAGGAGGGCACACAGCTCCCAGCAGCAGGGATGACTCTGATGTGGCCCTAGAAGATTATACTCACCAGCTGGAGGAGGGGTGGCCACTTACAGAGTGATGGTCTTGGTAATGGTCACCTGGCAATCAGTCAGCAGCCCCTGTTGGCAAAGCTTGGCTTAGTTGGGCTTTCTGCCTACAAGTGGCAGTCAAGTTTGTGTCCCCAGCTTGTTACATTGTAAGGGTGTTGACCTGAAAATGGAACATGACTCACTCCTGTTCCTGTGTGAGGGGGCAGCCAGGTGGGAAGGACTGTGCCCCAGAAGTCTGATCCCATCCTTTGAGTGAAGTCCCTTCAGAGGCCTTGCAATGGAAATGAGGCACTATTGCAGGAATGTTTTGATCTGTGCCACAGGATGGCAGATTTTTTCTTTTTTATTAACTTTGTTGAGGTATAATTTACACACAATACATGGACCTGTTCTAAGTATATAATTCCATGAATTTTGGCAAATGTGGGCAGTCATAACTACCCCTACAGTCAAGGTGTGGCATATTCTTATCGATAGCCCAACGTGGCTCCCCTGTGCCCTTCTGCAGTCAATCCCCCTGCCTGTCCTGAGCCCTGGCACCCACTGATCTGCACTGTCATTGTAGTTTTGCCTTTTCCCGAATGTCATTTAAATGAAATCATGGGGTACATAGTCTTTTGTGTCTCCTCTCTTTCAGTTGTCATGTTTTTGAGAGACATCCATGTTTTTGCATGTGGCAGTAGTTTATCATTCTTATTGCACCACAGTTTGTTTGTCTGTTCACCATTTGAAGGACATTTGGGGTTTTCCAGATTTGGGCTAAGAACAGTTTGCATGTGTTTTCATTTTTCTTGGGTAAATACCTAGGATTAAGGCTGCTAGGTCATATGGTAAGTACATTTTTACTTTTTTAGAAACTGCCCAGTGTTTTTCGAAGTGACTGTATCATTTTACATTCCCATCAGAATGTATGAGAGAGTGCCAGTTGCTTCATATTGCCACCACACTTATTTTAATTTCAAAAAGTTTAGCTGTCCTGATAGGTGTGTAGCAACTGGATTTATATGTGCCTTGGTGTGGTTCTTTTTATATTCACCTTTGGTTCATTGAGCTTCTTGGGTTTATAGTTTATATGAGTTTATAGCTTTCATCAAATTTGGTAAGCTTTTGCCTATTTCTTTATAAACTTTTTTTTGTTCCTCCTTCCTCTTCCCCTTGAGACTTCAATTTACGCATTATGAGAGGTAGCATGCTATTGGCCCACAATATGCTTTGCCTTTTTTTTTTCTGTCTTTTTTTCCCTATGTGCTTTATTTTGGTTATTTCCTTTTGCCGTGTCTTCAAAGTCACTGATCTTTTCTTCTGCCATGTGGAATCTCCTGCTAATCCTACCCAGTGTATTTCTCACTTACATATTCTATAATTCATCTACAGAAGATCCCTTTGGGTTATTTTCGTTTCTTGCATTTCTCTCTTTATATTCATGTTTTCTTCTATGTTCTGGAGCATATGAAACATTTCTAATTGCTGTTTTAATGTCCTTGTTTGCTGATTGCATCGTCTCTGTCAACTCTAGGTCTGTTTTGTTGTTGATTTTTCTCATGCTTATAGGTCACATCTTCTTGCACTTTGCTTGCTAGTAAGCTTTGATTGGATGTCAGTCGTTGTGAACTTTATGTTGTTGAGTACAAGATTTTATTGCATTCCTTTATGGAGTTCTGGACTTTTTAAAAAATATATATATTTTTTGTTTTTTGTGTGTTATTTCTGGACTTTTCTTCTGGCATGTATCTAAGTCTCTTGGCATCAGTTTAATCCTTTTTGAGGCTTACATTTAAACTTTGTTAGGACTGGTGCACAGTAGCAGGGCCCTAACTAAGGTGTCTCAGGTATTGGGAGCTCACTCCACTCTGGCTGGCGGGAATACAAATCCCAGCCCCATGTCAGCTTCTGGAATTGTTCAGTCTACTTCTTTTTAATGATTCTTTCCCCAGCCTCTTGTTTCATCCCACATATATACTGATCAATATCAGTCAAAGACTCAAGGGGACTTTACAGTAGATGTCCAAGACCTCTCTTTCTGTGCAGCTTCCCCGACTCAACAGGACAGCCCTCTAAAGCCTCAGCCTCAGACCGTCAGCTCAGCAGGGGGCCTGGGGAAAGAGTGGCCACCTTGTTTGTTTCTCTTCTGGCAGGAATCACAGTCCTACCCTATCTTTTGTCCCATGTCAGAAAAGAGTTTTGTTTCATATCTTGTATCAGGTTTTGTAGTTATGTAGAGCAGGACAGTGTTCTGTGTAGCAGTAATTTCTTCAGACACAAAGCGGAAGTCCCAGTGGTCTTTAGTGACTCAGTTGACAGAATTTTTCTACCCAGTCGCTATCTGCAGTCGCACGTGGGTGCTGCGTGAGCAGCACAAGGAGGAAGCAGAGTGGACTCGCCATTTTCAGGGTTTTGTTTTTCATCGCAAACCAGTTCACCAGGGTAATTCCATCCTGGTGTCCGCCATCAGGTTCCCTTTCTTTACTGAATGTTGGCACTTACAAAAAGGTTACCTGTGAGTCATTTGGCTCTAGCCTAGCTATTTTTACATCTATTTTTTTAAATTGTTCCTCTACCCCCTTGAGATGATCACTAAGTACCTGTTGGCAAAGATGTGTTTCATGCATCTGTTTGGAATCTGTGATTAAAATCAGGGAGTGTTTTTCTTACCTTCTTTTCAGAGTGGCAGTGTTTCCTGTGGAGAGGGGTTTCGTTTCCTTAGGGACCTTGCTCCACACACAGCAGTGCCAGCCAGGAACACCAGATCTGCCTCTGGGTGAGGGAACCTGCCCTGCCCGTGCTTTGCCTTTTGGGTATTTGTCCCACAGGGTTTTCAGAGAGGGGCAGGATGGCCCTGTGTGGTGTGTGGATGCTCTACGCTGCACTGTGAAAGCACAGATGGAAAGCGTGGTGTTTCTGCTGTCTTCACCTTCCTTTGTGTGCTCCCCTTTTCCTGACTGTCACAAAGGACTGATCTCAAGTGGTTCCCAAGACTGTGGAGCAGGACATTCTCTTCCTAGGAAGTGGGAATTATTTATGTAAATCCACATGTAGGGAACACGGTTGTTAAGAACTGGAGCTGGATAACAGACAGACTTGGATTTGAATCCCAGCTCCACCTCTCATTGGCTGTGTAACCTCAGATTACAGACTTAACCACCTCATGCTCTACTTCCTCATTATAAAATAGACAAGTAAAAGGGCCAGCCTGACGCCTTTGCTGAGGACGAAGGGAGCAATGCAAGTGAGAGTCCTGATGGGGCATCTGTGCCACTACTGGGGTGGCCAGAAGTCCTGGTTTGCCCTCTGTCTCAACATGATGAATTAATAATATCCCCTTTTATTCTAAAAAATTCCTGGTATCCACAGCAAATCAAATAGTCTCCCTATTACTCAGCAAACGTTAGCTATTCTCAGAATATTCATTCTAATTGTAATAATCATAATAATTCTAATTGTATCCATGTTAACTATTTTTGTTGTTCAGTCAAGCCAGTTTTGAGGGCCACTTTGGCCTCTGACACTAAAGATTCAAAGATGAATAGACCCTACTTAGGCAGAGTGGTTAGCAAACACTGGGCTTGGAGGGGATGGGACAGAGTGACATTGTCAGGGTGAGTCACAGAGGAGGGGACTTAGGGCTCGAAGGATGAGTTTGCAGGATTAATTATGACATAACTCTTTCTTTCTTTCTTTTTTTGAGATGGAGTTTTGCTCTGTAGCCCAGGCTGGAGTACAGTGGCGCCATCTCGGCTCACTACAACCTCTGCCTCCTGGGTTCAGGCAGCTCTCTGCCTCAGCATCCCAAGTAGCTGGGATTACAGGCGCCCACCACCACACCTGGCTAATTTTTTTTTTTTTTTTTCTGTATTTTTAGTAGAGATGGGGTTTCACCATTTGGCCAGGCTGATCTTGAAATCCTGACCTTGTGATCTACCCGCCTCAGCCTCCCAAAGTGCTGGGATTACAGGCATGAGCCACCACGCCCAGCCGACATAACGCTTTAAGATGTTGGCATGGGCCAGGCGCGGTGGCTTACACCTATAATCCCAGCACTTTGGGAGACCAAGGCAGGCGGATCACGTGGTCAAGAGATGGAGATCATCCTGGCTAACATGGTGAAACTCCGTCTCTACTAAAAATACAAAAATTAACTGGGCATGGTGGCACGTGCTGGTAGTCCCAGCTACTTGGGAGGCTGACACAGGAGAATCGCTTGAACCTGGGAAGCAGAGGTTGCAGTGAGCC